GCCAGGAGCCATTCTAAACATTCTCCAAGTATGAACTCATTTAATCCTCTCAACCACCCTTTGAGTGGAGATGAACTCGACCCACTTTATAGAGGAAACTGAGGCACACGGGCTTGTTAGCACTTGGAGTGCGGGTGAATTTCCCGCCAAAATATAAGATGGCTCTGTCTTTTGGTTTTGTTCCATCCACCAAAAGGGTGGATTACAAACAAATATTTGGTAATACGCAGTTACAATCGGCCCGAGTTTACACGTTTCCCGCACTCCACCGCAAATCTATATGAACCGAGTTAAAGACGGCTCCCGCGGAGTACGCGCAATTCACGCGAGCCGACTTAACTCGTTTCCCGCACTCCAAGTGTTAGGAGCAGAACCAGGACTTGAACACAGGTAGGCTGGCTCAGGGCACTTCCAGAGGCTTTTGGCTTTGACTGGGCCTCTGGAGACAGCAGGCAGCACTGAGCAGTGGCCTTCATTGTGTCGTCTAACTTTGGTCAGAGGGGCCTTCTCTGAATCTCCTTTGCTTCCCTGGGAAGGTGAGGCAGTCTGACCCGCGACCACCCGCTGACATGCGGACTCCTGGGTGGCACCAGGAAGCAGCTGAGGACAGGAACGCCGGACTCACTGAGCCCCTTGGGTCACAGCCACCGAGGCCAGGCTCCAGCCTTTAATGTGGCACAAGTGTGTGTCCTCCCACTAGAGGCCTGGCACGAGCAACAGGAACTATCCAAGCCCAGGGTGGGGGAAGGAGTGGCTGCCAGTGAAAGGAATTCTAAGGACAGAATTAGGCAGGTTTAGGGAATAAAGAGGGCCCACGGGGGAGGAATGCATATGTGAAGGATAGAGGTATCTCTGGCCTGAGCAATTAAAGCAATTATAAGGTAGATCAAAAGCAGCCCTGACCTGAGCAGTTTGGAGACACCAAAGTGCTTATGTTACTTGTACAAAGGATAGAAAAAGGCCACAGGATAACAGGTGGGGAAGGGGGGTGTGAGGGGGTAGGGGACACACATACATTCACAGAGGATAAAGAAAAGTCACAGGATAATGGAAAGAAGGAAACACATTTTCAGAGAATGGAGGAATGTTGCAAGATAAGGGGGAGAGAAAGAGGCTTCACCACATGGGCTTTGGCCTTTGAAACTGATATATGTAACAAAATAACCAGTGAGGAGAGCATGGGGGTCCTAAACTAATGAAAGGTCCAATTAGAAAGGGTCCGGCTCAAACAAAGAACTGCAGCACACATAAACCGGAGACAAAGGGACACCAGCAGGAATTTTCCCATTAGAGAGAGAGCAGGCTTTTCCCATTTCGGGGCCCCTCCCCAGGAGACACCTCTGCCCAGATGGAGTTTGTATATACTTCCAATAAACGTCTACATTTTTATTAAAGAAATCTGTTAGTCCATGAATTTATTCTTCATCTTCGTCGGACAGAAACCCACGAGAAGTCTACCCCAAATCCCATGTTTCACCAGGGAGTGGCTGAGGGAGATGGGAGAGTCGTCTCCTGCATCCAGTCCAAACCTCTGCCTCCCATACAGAGTGCCCTCCACCTTCTGAGGTTGAGCTCATGGGTCCCTGGTCCAGGGCTGGGCTCTACCCCAAACAGCTCCCGGCCCCTCTCACTTTCCTCCAACACCTGTCCTACCAGCTCGGCCACCTCCCTCATCATAAGCACCTAAACACCCCTGCTTCACTGGCCCCGGGCCTGGCCACCACAGGAGAAGAGGGAGCAGAACTATTCAGTCAGGTCAGGGACTCGGGGCCTAACCTGTCCAGGCCCCCTGCCCTATGAAAGGGTTCTCTATGCACTTTCCTATGAAAGAGTCTCTCCAATCAGAGGCCTTGGCTGGGACCACTGAGAGCACTGGGGGGAGGGGGAGCAGCCCCAATTCCTCCAGTTCCAGGGGCTGCGTCCTGCTGGGGCTCAGACACTGAGAGCACTGGGGTGGGGCGGGGGGGGGGGGACGACGACGACGACAACATAGCCCCTATTCCTTCTGGTTCCGAGGCCTGCAACCTGCCGAGGCGGAGCCTTTCCTTCTGCCCCCTCACTCAGGGAAGTGACTGCTTAGCCAGCCACGCCCATCGGCCTCCAGGCTCCCCTGAGATCCCTGCAGCTCTGAGCATCATGGGGCTCTCACTGCCTCAGAGAGACAAGATGGGCTTGGAGTGGGCCCGAGCCTGGGAGAAGTTCTGGGCTCCCACCCGAACTCCACCCTGCTTCCCTCAGCTGTGGGGGAAGGAGGTTCCACAGTAGTTGATGAATTGGGAACAGACTGACAAGGTGAGAGCAGAAACTGCTAATGACTCAAGTCAAAGAGCCTTAGGCGACAGCATCCGGTTTCCTCCTGGGAGAGGGAGTTTCTTCCTGCAGGCTCCGGGCAGCAGCTGGAGGGCAGGCTCAGGGGGCAGCAGCTGGCGGGCATGGTGATACAAACCAAAGCCTGAGGAGGCTCTCAGCCCCCTTGCTCCCACATGGAGGGCAATAAAGGGGCCATCGGTCCTATGACAGGCCCCACAGCTCACTGGGCCACAGGAAGGGAGCAGTGGGGTGCACATGCTGCCTCGTGAGGTGAGAAGACACCAGCAGCATGCAGTCGCCAAAGGATAGAAGAGGGAGAGTTGCACCTCAGCTAGAGGAACCCCATTTCTAAGTGAGGCTGGGTTCGCCCTCTGAATAGTAGAGCCCTGAAGGTTCCCTCTTTTCCTTGGGGAATGGAGGTAACCAGCCATTCCCTGGGGCTTGGCTGCCAGTGGCCCTCGGCAGGCTGGTAAATGCAGCCTGGCTGGGAGGGAAGCTTCTTGGTGGGACGGAGTCAGTCAGCTGGGACAGGCTTGGCTGCCCATGTCCCCACCCTTAAACATGGGTTCATTTTGCTCATATTGTCTTACGTTGCCCTTCTGTAGAACTGGGGCAGGGCAGGGACAGGCACAGTGGCGAGACACCTGCCAGACATGTGCCATTTTCCCACAACCACCCCGAGCCCTCTGATAGCTCAGATCCCTGACAAGAAAAACCCAAAGACCCCTTCCGGCAGGAACAGTAACTGTGCACACAGACACACAATCAGTGCCATAAGGCTAGGCCCCAGGTTTGTAGCAGAAGGAAGAGCTGGGGAGGGACCTCAGGGCCAAAATGCTGGGTGGGATGAAGGTCTGGGAGCTGTGAATGCTCTTGGCCTTTGGTAGAGACAAGCCGGAGTCAGGCCTGGGCAGCTCTCATGCTACGGCTGGGGCCAGGATGGAGCTGTCCTGAGACAGGGCCCCTCTGCGACTCCCCCAGGGCCCTGGCTACAGACCCAGATGGAAAAGGGGCAAGAGCAGCACCTCCCTCGTCCTCACCTGCTCTGTCGTACCAGTTCCGTCTGCTTAAGTCCCCTCTACATTCTGGGGCTCCTAATTGTCCTGTGGCTGTGGCGCCCTAGGGAAGCAGCCCCCTTGGCCAGGCACAGGCAAGGCCAGCCCGGGAGCGGAGGCTGTCTCTCCTCCTGTCCTCACTGCTCCTGGAGCCCCCTCCCTGCACTTCCTCCCCTGGGAGCCCCAGGTCCTCTTCCCGGCAGGAGAAGGGCAATATGGACTGACGTGCCACTGGCTGGAGCCTTTCCTTTCTAAATCCCACTGAGTATTGCTGCTTAGGAGGCTGGGGAGCTGGCACGGGGCCAGTGTGGTGGAGGCCTTCAAGCCCTCGGTAGGGAAGCAAAGCTTAATAAAAGTCAATCAATGGCCAAACAACCCTGTCCAGGGTCCTGCCAGGGCACAAGTGGTGGGAGAAAGGGAGTAGTCTATGCAGCTGCCATTGGCGGCTACCTCCTTGGTCCTCAGACCTGCCCAGAATCCCTGGAGGAGGAGGAGGAAATCCTGCATCAGCCTCCTGCAGAGGAAGGGGAGGCCGGGCCAGCCTCGTTATTAGGAGAGAAGTCCGAAGTGCACACGGAGGAGGAATGAGGCCTGGCAGAGAGGCAGCTAAGTTCTGTGGCTGGGAAAGCAGCAGCCAGACAGACCTACTCACGATGCACACATACATAACACACTCGCTGAAGACTTCCGCATGCTCCTGGTCTCACACAACCTTTCAGTACTTTCTTTCCTCAGTTAGCTCACAGCTACCGCCATGATCTCTGAACCCCAGGTGCCTGTCTCTCAACAGCCAAGGCAGTCACCACGGGGTCACAAGTGGAGAAGACTGGGGATCCTGGGGACACCTCAGATACGCAGGCATCTGAGCCCTGCCAACCCTGAAGGCTGCTGCAAAGCTCTGCCCACGCTGCTCCTGGGAACCAGCCGCCAGGGAGAGGCAAGCCCCGCTAGGTTCCCAGGAGTCTTGAAGAGAAAGAGATGAGCAGGAGAAGGGCCCAGGAGGAAGGCAGGCCCCGCTCTGAGAGTGGTGCACTGCATTTTAATTAGACAGAATAAAAACATGCAGCCTGCGTACGTAAGTAATGAATCACTGGTAATTACTCCTCAGCATCATCCTGTGGCACCAGTGCCAAGATGACGGGCTCTTTCAGGCAAAGCCATGTGTAGCGCATAGCGATGCGCCTGGCAAGGGACTCACCTCTCCATCTCAGGCCAGAGTCCCTGCTCTGTCCTCTCCTGGGTCCCTCTGGGGCCTCTACACTTAGAGGGCTGCTTAGATCGGAAGAGGTAGCTCCTAGGCCCGTGTGCTGAGTAGCCGGGGAGCAAAGACGCTTTCAGAATCTGGGCCCCAGAGGCTGGTGCTTGCCATGCTGACCCCGCAGGGGCTAACTCTTCAGTGAAGGTTCAGCCCTTTGTACACAAGCCCAGCACCAATCTCCTCCACTCCCTGCAGCAGGCAGAGGACACGGGGGTGGCAGCCTTAGGCTGAGCTGTCATAAATGGGAAACCCAAGAGGGAGCACTTAGCTGTAGGAGCGGAGGCTGCCTGCTCCCCATCCCTCTAGGAAGACAGGGTTTCTGTGAGTGGAACCGGGATGAGGAGGGTGGAGACCTCCTAGAGGCCTTCTGGTGGCCCACTCCCCCAAGGTGTACACAGTCCCTTTCATTTGTCCTAGCTTCTTGGGCGACATTCCACCCCCCTCCCCCACCCAGTCCCCAGAGATGGAAGCAAAGAGAGAGATCCAGGAGGGTGGCCCAAGGCTCAGTCCCTGCGAGAAGTGATGTGTGCTCTTGGAAGAAAGGTAGGAAGGGACTGACTGAGGAGATGGCTGCTCCAGGCTGGAGGAGAATGAGGGGCCTATGGGGCCCCTAAGCCCCCCATTCCTTTTGGCCGGTGACTGGGCCTTGGCTCTGGGAGGCGACTTGCAAGCCAGATGGTGGCCCCATGGGGAAGGCAACGTTTATTCTTGGAACAAATTTATGGCTCAGCATGGCTGTCCCATGAAATCCTCCTCAAGCTCAGGGAAGCTCTGACACATTGGTGGCCGGCTGATTTATCCCATTAGCAGGGCTGGGCTGTGAGTGGCAATAGGCGGGGGGGTGGGGGGTGGGGGGTGGAGGTGTTGCTAAGCCCAGCTCCCACCACTAAACCCACTGGGTTGCTTAATCGTCCATTTGTTTCCTAAAGCTGCTTTCCAACCCCCCCCGCCCCCCACTTCTATGCACTGTCTGCAGAGACGGAGGGGCTGTAAATCTGCTGTCCTAACAGCTTTATACATCTCTTGGGGCTGCTTCCAAAATGGGCTTCCCTGCAGGGCAATGTGAAGGGAATTGGGATGTGGGCTGTGGGAAGGGCTAGGAATGGGGAAGGAGCAGGAGCAGACACCCATCTCCTGCTCCAGGGGCTCCCCTCAGTGGACGCCCATCTCCTGCTCCAGGGGCTCCCCTCAGTGGACGCCCATCTCCTGCTCCAGGGGCTCCCCTCAGTGGACGCCCATCTCCTGCTCCAGGGGCTCCCCTCAGTCGTTTCTCGCATTGATCCAAGTCACCTCCCTGATCCCTTGAGCAGGTCTGCAACAGGCTCATGGCGGAGACGCCTTGCCCTTGGTTCTTATGTGGTTCCTGATATGGGGTCTGAGACCAACCGGGGTGACTCAGTTGGGGAACGACAGAACCACTTCTGTCTGTTGTAGGAAGGCAATGGTGTTAATGGTGGTGAGAGAAAGTATGAGCCAGGGCCAAGGGGCACCCCTCCCCCCGCCCACTCCCACACCATACCTTCTCCTTCTTCTGCTTGGCGGCCTCCTCGGCAGACAGCAGGGATTTGTAGTAGGAGCTGCGCTCCGCAGTGAAGTGGACCTTGGAGAGTGCGTGCTCCACCAGCAAGACGGACAGGTTGGCGCCGTCGATGTGCAGCCAGCCGATGAAGTTGCCGGCCTTGTCCATGCTCTCCACCTCCACCTCCACCTGGGGCACAGAGGAAGGGGGTACAGAGTCAGTGTGCAGGGAGTGGCCCTGAGTGTGCAGAGGGGAGAGCGGCGCCGAGGCCCAGTGCTCAGGCCCTGGGCAGCCGCCACCAGGTTCATTGCACGTGATAGGAGCGGCTGAAACTAGAAGAGGGAGAGGATGTGCTGAGCAGAAAAGCAGGAGCTTGTGAGAGCCCCTGTGCTGTCGCCCAGTTGGCTCTATGCTTTTTAGCCTCTCACCCCCCAGAATCATCCTTGATAGATACATCACTGACAAAGCAACTTCAAAATACATCACTGACAAAGCAACTTCAAAATTCCCCTTCCTTTGACAGAGAGCTAATAGGGTAAACGCCAGTGTGTGTGTGTGTGTGTGTGTGTGTGTGTGTGTGTGTGTGTGTGTAGCTGGGGGTCAGGAGTGAGATCAGAAGCAGCCAGCTCTGGGCACACGCCACTCTTCTCTTCCCTCCCCCAGCTCTGCTAGGAAGAGAGGCAGACTCTGGGAGCAGGGCAATCCCTGGGGAGAGGGGAGCCTGTGTTCTTTCTGGAAGAGCTGAATGAATTAATGCTTAATTTAACAAAGGTAAAAAAAACTGGCTGCATGAGAGTCGGGCGAGGACAGGAAGGATGGGACAAGTGGGCAGGAAGTGCACCACACCGAGGAAAAGTTATGGGCCAACCCCAGCAGAAGGTTCTCCCCAAGGAAGAGCAATTGCCATAAGCCCAGACCTCGAGCTGTGTGCTGGCACTGAGCTTCAGAACCCCCAGAGATCCCCACAAGGCTTCAGGCCTCTTAAGCCCCCCGGTCCCTGTAAGACCCAGGACCCCAGAGCCAGAACTGCCTCTGCTCCTGCGAGACAGTGGCCTCACTGTCGTGGCCATAGTGGTGGCGGATCTGCTCCCACCTCAAGGAGGCAATGGCCCAGGAAATATTCCTTCTTTGATTTTCTTCCCCTGCTTAAAGGGGACTGGAAAAGCCTTTGCTGCCAAATGTAAAAACTTGTATTAATTTAAATGGCTTCAAGCTCGATTAAGCAATAAAATGAATGTCTAAACACCTGAGAATTCTCTGAAGCCTGGGCCAGAGCCCGTGGCAGCAGCCTAGGGCAGAGGGTTGGAGGGGCAAAGGCGGGGAGCAGCCGCCTGCCTGGTGGGTTCTGCCTCAGCAGGGAGAGATGGCAGCGGACACGACTCCTTCGGAGTAGATGAAGGAGACGAGATGGCACGGATGTGCAGAGGGCAGTGGAAGAAAAAGAGGGGGCAGGGCCAGGGAGGAAGGACCCTGGCCTTTTCCCCTTCTTGGACACCCTCTTCCTGCTTGAGGTCCACAGGTCACCCTTCAAGGGTAAATGCAAGTTCAACAGTGCCCCACATTGAGATGTGGTACAGAAGAGGGTGTGCAGAGTTTATCAAAGCTACAGAAAAAGGTGCTGTACGTATAGATCCAAACCCAAGGTGATATTGTAGGTGGGAAAAGGAGGCACAGAGAAGGGAAGTGCAGCTAGTAAGGGGTAGAGCTGAGAGCACCTCCTTCCCTCTTGTATAGCCCTGTTTCAGGAACACTCTTCCTCCAGTCACACCTCTCACCCACCCCCCTCCTCGCTTCCCACCAGGTAATGCCAGCTCCCTCCACGATCAACACCATGGGGCCTTGCACCTCACTGGTAGAGCCAGGGTGGGACGACCCAGCACCTGCACCACCCTGCTGAGGGGCTGAAGCAGGGAGAACCAGCATCTAATACCCGCAGATGTCAAAATATGTTCCTCCTGTCTAATTCTGGCAATTAACGTACTGGGGGACCTGCACTTGTTGGGGAAAAGGGCAGGTGGGCAACATGGTGCTTTGATAAAAACAGGTGCCTTAAGAGCTCACCAGCAGGGCCTTTTGCCACCCTGCAAATGCCCAGGACACTGAGCCCCAGGGAAGCTCTGCTGCGGGGCCACTGGGCGCCCCTACAGTAAGAGGACCAAAGGCAGAGGAAGAGGCTGCCAGACTAAAACAGGGATGGGAAAAATGAGAAATCAAGAGGCACAAATTTCCAGTTGTAAACATCACAGGAATGTAATGTACAACATAAAGAATACAGTCAATAATACTGTAATAACTTTGCTGTGACCGGTGTTGCTACATGGTTAGAGCACTGGCCTATACACTGAAGAGTGGTGGGTTCAATTACCGGTCAAGGGCAGGTTGTAGGTTTGATTCGTGCATGTGGGAGGCAATCAATTGATGTGTCTCTCTCACATCAATGTTTCTCTTTCTCTCTTCCTCCTTCCCTCCCTGCCTTCCACTCTCTCAAAATCAATGGAAAAAATATCCTTGCGTGAGGATTAACAACAACAAAATACAGTAATAACTTTGTACGATGACAGATGGTTACCAGACTTACTGTGGTCATTTCATAAGCTATATAAATGTTGAATTACTATGTGTATACCTGAAACTAATATAATATTGTATGCCAACGCTGTTTAAAAAAATACATGGAAAAACCATCTCTTATCCTTCTTAATGTGGCAAGCTTTATCGAACATGCCAAGGCCAAGAAGCAGCAGGTCCCAGAAGAATTTTGGGAGGCAGAAGGAAGACAAGAGAGGCTGCGTGCCTTGTGTTTAGGAACTCATGAGATAACAGGTAGAGTCCGGTGTGTGTGTAGGCTGGCTTCCACCACTAAACCACTGCCCTCCTTGTATTTGGGGGCTCATGAGATACCTCCTTATGCCCAGCCAAAAGCAGCGAAACTGGTAGAGTTCCCAGGTTTGACCTCTTGCCTTCCACTGTGTTAGGAGCCAAGTGTCCTTTCCCTAAAACTCAGGATGGCTGCTCTGCATGAGCACATGGCCTCCCTCCAGGCTCGAGTAGCTTGTGGTGGGCCAGGGTGATTGTGACAAGAAGCTTGATGGCCACCCGCCTCACTCCTCTTGGCGTTGGATTGCTGGAAATGAATGCAAGAACCGCAGAGATGGGTGGCAGAGGCAACCGGGCAGGTAGCTTCCCTCTATTCCTACAAGTGCCCACACTGAGACCTCACTCCACGTGGCAGTCCCAAGTTCACACCTCTCTCTCTGAGGCCACAAACCAGAGGCTGGCCTCTCAAGGGCTCACATCAGAGGGAGAACCAAGCAACTAGCAGCCACACCGGGGGCCAATGCTGCCGCGGAGCAGCGGGCTCTCTGGCGGACGAGCACTGACAGCGCCGCTCACCCTGCAATCGATGCACTAACTTGGTCTTGACAGGTCCCTGGGCCCGGTGGGCCGCAGAGAAAGAAATCTCTAGCCTTGGGCACTACGCTGCCACTGAATCCATCTTGGGTTACAGAGGGAGATAAAGCTGTCGCCTGAGTCTCTGCTTCCCCTTTATTACAGCTGCTACAACCATGGTCTTTTCTCAGTCAAGCAAAGGCACTCAGGATAGGTGGGCTGGCCTCAGCGAAGAGACAGGGCTGGGCAGTGGTCCCGCTGCTCCCAGTCTCTTGGCTTCCGGCCTCTCTGGCCAAGTCCTGCACTTGTGCCTATCTTTCTGGACATGCCCCAGCCTGGACGGCCAAAAATTTGGGTCCATGGCTGTACAAGCTCTACTCCATTCAATTTAGAGACTCACATTTTTTATGTTCTTGGGCGGCCCCTACAATGGCACGTACCATCGGGAGCTCAGGCCTTGGGTGACGACCATGGGCCGCCAGAGGACTTCATATTCGTGTGGGCATTTGGTGTGTACATGTGTGGGCTCTGGCCTGAGGGTACCAGAGTTAAGTGTATACAGGGACATAGCATGTCAGCAAGGGACAGGTGGTGGGTCTTCTCTTCAATGCTCATGCTGAAGCTGAGAGCTAGGAAAACACAGAGCTGGTGCAGGAGGTGCGGGGGTGTGGACTGACTGGGCCAAGAGCTTGCAGGAAAAGCATAGATCCTGGGAGTCAGACAGACTTGGGTTCAAATCCTAACTCTAGCCGTGAAGTTTTGGGCAAGTCACATGACCTCCTCTAGCCTGCTTCCTTACTGTAAAAAGAAGAGCGGGCCCTGTGCATTAGAGAAGCTCCTGTAAACTGCTTCATCTCCCTTCAACTGCTGCCAGCTGCCAGCAGCCTCAGTGGTTACATCAGCAGCAACCCTGCTTGGCTGAGCTAGACCCCTGTGTTCTCCCCCACCCCGAAAAGCTCTGGGGTTCTTACACCTTGGGGACCCCATGCAAAATACAGAGTGGGAGGTAAGGCGAGTGGGGGTTGATGGGAAGAGCCACTGTGTGACAGATGCCTTTCTGCTTAGCCGAGGGGGTCTTTCTCCACTACAGGGACAAAAGCGGGGGCTGTCACCCAGCCGGCCATGCCCAGCTGCACACAACGGACCCAGCCTGTCTGTGGGCCGGGGCAGCCAGCGGGTCCTGCTGCCTCACAATGGGACACGTCCTCCTGCTCCCAAGCACATTAATGTGCCACTAATGAAATTGTTCTGGCTTATTTACCAAATTAATACAAACGGCACAGGCTGTTAATTTGCATGTCTCTTAATTACTGAGGAAGAGCTCCCAAGCCCGGCAACATACACACCTCAGTGCCCACCCAGCCGAGCTGCTGGTGGGTGAGGAAGGGGTGAGGGGGAGGAGGAAAGAGGAGAACTGGACAGCCGCTAGCTCTCCGTGGCTGGGAGCACATGAGGGAGGGAAGGCGGTGGTGGCCATGAATTTGTTGTTTCCCACAGTCCCCTTCTCAGCAGCTGCAGTGCCCTGGGCCTGCAGAAAAATATATTTAGTCTCCCATTCCTCCCACACCATTCTCCTCCTTTTAAAAAAATATTTTTTATTGATTTCAGAGAAGAAGGGAGAGGGAGAGAGTGATAGAAACATCAATGAGAGAGAATCGATTGGCTGCCTCCTGCACGCCCTACACTGGGATCGAGCTGCAACTCAGGCAAGTGTCCTGACTGGGAATCAAACCATGATCTCCTGGTTCATAGGTTGATGCTCAACCACTGAGCCACACCAGTTGGGCCTGTTCCCCTCC